AGTTCTGCCCTGGGGAGAGGGCAGCTCTGGCAACCTCCCCCTTCCTGTTGACTGCTCGGGGAGAGACACTGCAGACGCTCGTGGTGTGCGGGGCAGATGTGCGCGGGAGATGAAAGCACGCCAGTGTCCTGGAGCTAAATCGTTCAGCAGACCACGGGTTGCTTCCTTCCAAGTTTTAGTCCAAGCACGAGGCTGCGTAACCTTGCCAGAAATGTCTCCAGTGGTGCTCAGGGCCCTTTGGAAGTTGCATTTTGTATTTACTGTTTGGCTTAGGCATCTGGAAGGTTCTAGCTTGCAAGCAATAGCTTTAGGTCGCCAAGCTTTCAACCACTTTCCTCAAGGTTTTAGGTCAGGCGTGACTGTCATGGGAAGCTTCTGAACACCTCCCCTCCCCACAGGCTAGGGGGTTCACATCCCAGGGTGCAGGCAGGACAGCACCTCGTGTAAAGATGCTTGGTGCTGGCTGATCACTGGGCATCTTGGCTGTAAGGGGCAAAGCTCTGCACTTAGCTCACGCAGCCCTGGGAGGGGTAACGCTCTACTTTGCAGGGGGGAAAGCTTTCTTCTGAATTGCCAGGAACTGGCAGCGAGCCCTTGGGCTGTAGGGATGGGGGGCCATGCCTCTTGGCTCTCTTTTTGCCTCCCTGACTTGTTCACTTCTGCCATGGGTCTAGATGGGGAAGGTGCCTCAAAGCCAGCCCAGGTCGGGCAGACACGCTGCCCTGTTGGGGCACAGCTCTGCTGGGCTGGTGGAGAGCTGTCCCTCTCCACCTTGGTTAAGCGAAAGTGGAACTGAGCTATATCCAGCCCTTGAGCATTTCCTTCTGTTAGAGCTATTGGGGTGCAGAAACACCCAGACTCAGGTTTTCCAGGCTCTCCTGGGCTGTCACTTCTTTGCAAACAGCTCTAGCATGGCTCAGGGTGCTGATTGTTAGCAAAGGAGATGGAAGAAGATCAGCAGTGAGAGCTAAGGACATCCCTCCCCATCTTCCTTGCAAATCCCCTTAGCTCCACAGGGATGGCATGCTGGAGGAAGGGAGAGTTGAAGAAGAGGGCTGCTCGCCCAGAGTCTCTGCCCATACGTGGGGACAGCAGGTCCTCTGCCTGTAGACTGCCCAGGGCAGGCGCTGCTCTGGAAAAGCAGCCATGGTTGCAGAGCATGGCTGCGAAAAGACACCACATGGTTTTGGGGCCAGGGCTAAGTCTCCAGAAGTGTTGCAAGATATCTCTCTCCAGGTGTTTACTTTTCTGGCACAAAATGAGCTGAAACATATTACCCAGAAGCAAGCACTCTCACCATTCAGAAGTTCTTCCTCTTAGGGCTGTCTTTTGGCTTCAAGGTGGCCACGCCAGTGCATCTTTCTCTCTTCACACCTCTGATGGTTTCCTACCCAGCTCCTGAATCTGTCTCGAAAACCTCACTCTTTGGATGATTGCATTTCTATCCAGCATGTACTATCAGTGCTGCATCCCTGCTCCCTATTGCACCTGGGGCCCTCTGCACCCTACATCTGTCCATCTTTGAGTTTCGCATGTCCTCTGTGTGTGTTTTCAGGGAGAGCCTGGACCACCTGGTGACCAAGGGCGGGAAGGACCCCTCGGACCACCTGGCGACCCGGTAAGAGCTTGGATTAACTTTCTGGATGCCAGGTAGAAGTGGCTGGGGCAGTGGCAACAGTGGGCATGGGGGCTTAACTGATGTCACAGTGTCTTGGGGCACGTTCTCAGCAGCTTCCAGACCAGGTAACAAGGCTGGTGAAGAGGGGCAGGGTTTTCTAGGAGAACCCAGAATATGAACAGGGCTGAAAAGCCAGAGGCTTGGCTGTTGGGCTGGGGACAGAGCAACCTCCAAGCCATTTCCCAATCCCATGGAAACAGATGTCAACACATCTGACAGATTTGGAAACTGGCAAGTGCAAGCTGCAGCAATGCACAAAATGTTCAGGCCTGGGGCCAGACACGGCTCACCTCAGTCAAGGGAGTCAATGAGACCTCTTGTGTCCATGAGGATAGCCTGATGGGGCCCCAGCAGTGTCCCTGACATTCTTGGCATCTGCAGAGACAGTCTGTCACAAAGCCAGTGTTCCTCAAATCTGCTTGCTGCAAGGTCTGGCCCTCCTGCTCTGTGGTCTGATTGTCCTCACGGTCCTTAAGCAAGAGATCTCCGACCCCACAGACTTTCTGGAGAGCAGAGCTGGCTACCTCCAGCCTAAGGAAGGCTTCTGTCCCCAGCACAATTAAATACTCTTTCTTCCCAAAGGCATACCCAGCTCCCAGTTGGTAACTCTGGGTCTAGAGGTGTTGCTGGGTTAACTCTTCATGACAATAGCAGTGATTGCAATGGCCAGCAGGGTCTTTGCACCTGTGCAATCATCCTTTGACATCACCCTTCGATGGGGACAACTCCTCTGCTACTCATACCATCAGTTATGACGAAGCCCAGGATCAGGGAAGTATTGAGACAAACACCCACACTGATGGAGCAGAACTTCGATGAGGGGCGAAGCATGCAGACGAGTGTGCAGACAAAGAAGTGGCAGCTTTGGAACTCCTTTGTGCCCAACCAAGTGTTGAAGAGCCCTGAAGGAGATGTGCAGTGCAGGACAGCCATGAAGGGGTTGCTGTTGCATTCACATTATCCACAGCACGGGTGACCCCTGCAGCAGACCTGCACCATGCCACAGCCTGGGGACACGACATGCTTGTGCCAGGGTTGTGCGTGCCTGGAGTCAGGCTTCCCTCAAGCCTATCTCATGCTAGTGAAGACCATGAAATTCAGGATTTTCCAAAACATGCTATCTGTAGCTGAGCTCAGCTCTTGCCACAACCAAAGATCATCTGGCAGCATCCAGCTCGTTGGGCACTGCCGCAGTGAGAGGTGTTGTTTTGGGAGGTGGCCCCAGTGGAAGGGCAGCTCTTTGTATGTGTGTATGTAACGGACCCGTTCTACAGTCTGACACCAGCAAAGGACTGGAGCTGCTCTCTGTGGTAGAGGCTCATATTCTAGGTTCAAGGAAGGAGGACTGCACAGAAGAAGACAGAGTTAAGGTGGAGATTTGATGTGAACCCGGGAGCTGAAGCTGTGCAAGCACGGTGTATAACCAGGCTGGGACAGATACTGTCTCCAGCCAGCCTTCAGTAGTAGGGACAATAAGGAGAAAGGAGAAAAAACAGTCACCCTGCTGTCACTGAGCCAGTGGGGCAACAGTTTTCCCTCCCCAGCACTGAACTTCAGTCAAACCCCTGTCAGAGAGGGAAGCATTACAGAAGTAGCTTCAGTGCCTCCTCAGAGCAGAGACTGTCCCAGTGCCTCCATCACTCCAGGGAAATTTCAAGAGCAGTTGCAAAGCAAGGACATTTTTTCCATGAGCTGAGGAAGAATGCTTTTGCTTGGCCAAATTAAAAGTAAATGCGTAACTGGGCTTGGGTAAGAGTAGCGCTTTGGCAAACACAAGTGTTTTTCAAGCCGCGTTATCTGCAAGCTCTGGCTCTTCAGTTGTGTTTCTCTTGGCAAGGGGAAAGGACTCCTGCTAACCTGTGGCTCTCTTTCATCCTCTTTCTATCCAAGAGAAGCTAAAGGTCAGCATGCTCTTCCCTTGACCCTCGTGACCAGGTTTGGTGGTCCCTCTCTCTTCCTGGCTATGGTGGCCCTTCGTCCTGTGGTTCTTGTTGCTCTCAGAAAGGCGGTGGGCAGGGAGCTGCTAAAGATTTCCTAACCCAAAATCCTGCTTCTTTATAAACTCCTTCAGGGCCATGAGGGATTTGTGCTCTGTGCTACAGTGAGGACATGTATGGTCAGCATGAGCCAAGGGTACTGTGGATCCAGCTTGGGCTGACGTTAATGATCATGAGTTCTTGTCTCTCCTTCCCAACTTTCTCTCTTCTGGGCTTTTGTGCAGAAATAAGGTCACATGCCTTTGAGCAGTTTAGTGCTCCGCACTTCACTGTGTAGTTTCAAGTCCTCTGCACCCACATGTACACTCTTCCTTGGAAGAAGGGCGCATGCAGCGTGCATGGATGTTTTGTATCAGCTTCTCCCAGCTGCTGTTGTGAGAAGGAGCAGAGACGATAGCTGGAGAGGATTTCAGTTTTCTCAGCTTTTAGGTAGTGAGAAAGGGGCTGCAAAGCTGGACTAGGCTGAGCCACTGCACTAAGCCAGCTCCCAGAAAGCTCAGAAGTGCTGCTGATGCAATGAAAATATGAAGGAAACTCTTGAGCATGTACTGCTGCGAGCATTTCAGGGGTCAGGAGTCTTGAGCTGGCATGCCGGCTGCCTGCTGCAGTGATGCTGGAGGGATCAGCTGCCAAGCCATCATGCTCTCCCACCCTCTGCCTACCTTTGCCAACTCCATCGCCTGGGCACTGATTGCACACCCAGCTCCACGTGAGATGCTGCCTTGCTTGAGCATTTGGACCAATGGGCAAGAGCATTACCCAGTCATTACCCTCCATCATTACTAATCTCCTGACCAGTAAGCCCTATGAAGGGCTGCTGGCACTGAGCAGAAGGTGGGAGCGCTCCCTTGGATATCTGCTGGAGCTCTAGGAGAAAACAAATCTCCTTCCACCTTCTTTCTTGTCTCTGGCTGTCTCTGGCCAGCCCTGCAGCTGACGGAGCGAGCAACCACTGCCCAGATGGAATGTGGCAGAGTGACAGCTTTGGTCTGTTCCAGCCCGTGCTGCCAGTGCTCTGCAGCCTCCTGAGGACAAAAACTCCCTGGAACCATGCAAGGGCCTCTGCCAGTCCGGCTGTGACCCAGACCTGTCTGAGTCTCCAGGCATGGGGAGGGCCTCTGTGGAGGGAGGTCTGTGTTATTCGGGGTCATATGCTTCACCAAGGACTGTTCGCTGACCCAGGGGCACCTCTGTCACAGCTGATGAGATGCCACTGTGCAGTCCAGCTGTCCTTCACTGCTAGAAAGCACCATCCCTGCCTCCCTGGTCCTATTCTCCACTGGGTCCTCTGTTAGTGGACCGAGGTGTGGAGGAGAGGGATGGCTTTAAGGGCCTTGGAGGCTCTGTTCAGAGGCTGCCTCCTCCCTCAGCCAGGCTGCCAGTGAGAGCACATGGTGTTCAATCCATGCCTGCAGTGTCACACCTTGGCCCAGCAAGCTTCTTGCTTTGGCTCGTGCTCAGCAGGGATCTGGTCAGGGCTGCCTCTGACGGGGTTTTGCGAGAAAGTAGGGCAGAAGGATGTGTGGGGAGCTGCAGCCTGTACAGGCAGGGGAGCACAGGGTGGGAGCCATGAACAGCTCCTGAAGCATCTCCCCACCTGTATCAAGTCCCATCAATAGGTCCTTTCTTGTGAGGCTGGCAGAGGCAGAGGTGACTCACTGATGGGTGCAAAGCATGAGGCGGATGCCCCCACCCATCACGTCACAAAATGAAGGGACTAGCCCTTCAGGGCAGGAGCAGGACCAGGAGAGAATCCCTGTTGTGAGAGCTCTTTGTGTTTCCCTAGGGTGAGATTGGACCCCCAGGACCCAAGGGCTACAGAGGAGACGACGGTCCTCGTGGCAATGAGGTCAGTGCTGCTTCATCATCACATATTCTGGGGCAGGGAACGAAGGGAAGACCAGGAGCTGCTGCCTGTTAAAGCTCTCCCTAAATCCCTTGGGTCTTTGGAACAGGTTGTATGTAAAAACTCAGGTGCTAACTTCCTTAGAGACATATCAAGGCATTTTTTCACGGGTCTTTAAGGCCGTGGATCCCTTTTTCACCACTACCCAGAGGTCATTTCATGGGGAGCGTGTAGCTACACGACAAGTCATGTGGCTTCCTATCACGGAAGCTGGGGGAGCTGCTCTCCAAGGGCAGACACCTGAATCTGCCAGCAGATTTGATCCCCAGGGCAGGAGTCAAGCAGAATCCTAGCCCAGATGTGGGCTTTGCGTTTCTCTTGTGTAAGCAAAACGCCTCCCTGATGGGCTCATGTTGGTACCTGGTTGCCTCAGAAGGTATAGTTTTCCCACACAAAGGATGGTGTGCAATGCTTGACAGCTTCTTCTGCTCCTTCCAGGGCCCAAAAGGATTGCCTGGAGCACGTGGGCTGCCTGGAGACCCCGGCTTGATGGGAGAAAGGGTGAGTGACGTTTGTCTGGGGGGATTGCACGCAGCGTGGAAAGGCTGTACAACAGGCTGGTTCCACATGTCATGATCCAACTTAAGGAGAAAATAAATTACATTTGCACACAGCTGAGGTACAGGGAAAATTTGCAAGCAGCCTGCTTTTGAATATGCATCATATCTGCAGGCTCAAAGAGCCATATGCTGGGATGTACTTTCCAGAAACAGAGACCTGATACTTCCCAGTCTGTTCTCGGCCTGTGACCATATCCCCAGTCTTTGAAAGGGACAGTGTCACTCTCCTTTCAGTGGCTGTGCAGGTTACACACAAGTAAGATGATCTTTTTACCTGCCTGCACCAGTGTCCAACCCACCAGTCGCATATTTTTTGCACAGGCATCTTGCTGTGGAGATAAACAGTCCAAGGAGGACTGGATCCTGCTGCTGTGCTATCTAAGGGGTCTGCTTTTCATTACCTCACACATTTCTCTCTCCCTTCCTAGGGGGAGGATGGCCCTCCTGGCAATGGCACAACTGGATTCACAGGCGCCCCAGTAAGTATTTTGTGCTGCTTTGAAACTTTGAGATCAGTATTTCTGCTTGTCTGACCTAACATGCGTTTTTTCCTTCATTCTCAGGGACGACCAGGAGACAGAGGTGACCCTGGCATTAATGTAAGAGTGCTGCTGCTTCACACACACAACAGAAATTGCTGTGGCCAGTGGTCTGGCTCCAAGAGCCTCTACACCAGCTGCATGGTGAAGCTGTCCATTCTGTACTATTTTTCAGGGAACAAAAGGCTATGTTGGTCCAAAAGGTGATGAGGGAGAAGCTGGAGACCCTGGCAATGATGTGAGTGATATGTATTAAACTAAATCATCTTTTTCTGTGAACACAGTGCAGGAGCTTTGGGTTGGGTCTCTAACATTACCTTGCCTGTGGGTCAGAACCCATCAGACTTTGCAAGTCTGCAAGTGCCCTTTGCTGCTGAGCAGTGTCTGATGGCAAGGGGAGCTCTTTCCAGATGTTCTCGTCTGTGTTCAGCCGTTTATGGCAGAACAGATCTGTTAGGTTGAGGTGGGTATCACCTCTGCAAGATTTTGCATGCTTCCAGATAGCACCAAAGGCTGCACCTGTGCTGTACCGCTGTCTTGTGCAGGGAGATTTTCCTGGTGCCCATCCTGACCCTCTCAAGTCCTAACTTGTTGGGTACAACAAGCACTCTCAGATAACAGTGCTAAGTGGGCCTCAGCAGACATCTGGAGGGGAAGGTGCTGCACCCTGACACACACAGATTTGTGGATTTTGTTTCTGTTTTCATTCCAGAACCCAACCCCTGGCCCCAGGGGCATCAAAGGAGCTAAAGGCCGCAGGGGACCTGAGGGCCGCCCGGTAAGTAAAGACCCTGGCAAGGTTTGCACCGATGAGCACAATGCGCTGGGCAGAGGGAGCTCCCAACGGCAGGGCTGGATGCAGACTTGCTGTTCTTGGCCCTGCTCACAGCAGGAGCAAGGCAGTTTGAAAATTCACTGTTGCAGCCTGGTACACAGGTCTCTGAAATCCTGTTCATCCCAAAACAGGACAGAAAATACAGGCACTATTTCTTTATCATGAATGAAGCATTCTGACGTGATCAGATTCAGTCGGGGCAAGCAGCTTCTTGGAGCAGACATCATGAACCTGAAAGTGTTTCTGGTTGTGTTGAGTAGCCACTTGCCTGTGTTGACTTCACATTGGCCTGGAGGCTACAGGAGAGGCATCTTCTGAGAAAACAATAGCCATCCATCCATCCATATGTCCATTCATCCATCCATCCACCCACCCTGTGGGTGCTGTAGAGGCAACGCCAAGCTCTGTCACACACGGGGTGGGGGGTTGTGCTCGCTGCCTGCGGCATGAACTTGCCTTCCCACCTCGGTCAGCACAGCACACGTGGAAGGGGGTCTCCTTTCCCCCACCTCTATGCAGCCCCAGGACATTTGTACAAGCAAGTAGATGTAACCTACTCAAAGCCCAGTGCAGGGGCCAGCAACTGGGAAGCCAGGAGACGTTTCTAGACTCTGCATTGCTTAGCATGGTATCGGCAGAGTATGCTGTGTATGGGACTGGCTGCTTTTGTAACTGCTCTGTCCGTGCTTCTGTTTGACAGGGACCACCAGGACCTGTGGGGCCTCCAGGACCAGATGTGAGTGGGACGGAATCGGGGCACTGCTTGCTTTCGTGGTCTGTGCTTCTTCTGCCCAGCGTGATGGCTCCTGCGGGAGGGTCACTGCTGGGAGAGCCTTGTGCTCCCAAGCTGGGTGGTGGCTGTCCCCCAATTACTGTCCCACCAAGTCTCACTGGCCAGATCACCTTCATGCCAGTCCATCATCAGCCAGCCCACTCTGTAGTGTGCCCCATCTGCACATCACTCATTTCCAGATCAGGACCTGCTTTGAGGGCACACAGCAGCAGCAGAGGTGGTGGGCAGCACCTAGGAAGCCTTCTCACTGTTATTCAAACATTTCTCTACCTCTCATTTTCAGGAATGTGAAATCTTGGACATCATCATGAAGATGTGCTGTGAGTATCCCTGTACCACTCCTGCCTTGTTCAGTTCCTTGCTGAGCAGGAGGTAGCAGCTTTTTCTACGACTCCCATCAGGCAGGGCCATCCCCACCAGAGAGATACATGGGCATCACTCCCCTTCCACAAGTCATGACTAAGTCAATGAGCTGGGGGAGAAGTCATCCCTGCAGCTGGGACAGCAAATCTTTTGTGTGTTGCTGTCCTTTGTCTTGACACAGGGACTTTCAGCTTCACCTCTAGAATAGGTTGCCCAACTCTGTTTCACTTGTGCATGCTGCAGACTGGTTTGCTCTGTCTGTGGTTCTACATACATGGCTACCTCTCAGGCAAATTGCAAGCAAAATTGTGTGAAATCTTTGTGTGGATCATTTCACAAATTTTTTTTTTTTTTTACTTGAATAGCAGGACCTGACTTATCCCCTTGGGAAAGGGATGTCTGTTCTGGGGTGTCCTGCCATGGGGAGCAGCTGCAAGGGGTTTCTGGCCCTCAGCCAGTAAAGAAGTGCTGGAAGGACATAGGGTATTTAGGGAATTGAGTTTGAGCTCCATACTCTGGTGATTTACTTAATCCCTCCAGGATTAGCTTTTCTTTTCATTTAAATAAGAATGCAGCAGTGTGTGCAGAAAAAGAGCTCTACTGCATCCAGTATTCCAGGTCAGGGCATCAAACTCTGAAACAGGAGAGAGATCTGCCTGGAGGGAAACCTCTGTAGGCTTGAAATTCTCCAGACCAGGTGTCTTTGGGTTTGCAGAAACACAAACCTGCAGCCTGCATTAGTGTGTGGAATAAGCCCTTGTGTCAAGCATTTTAACATTCTTTCTTTCCCTCCCTTTTCCTCTAGCTTGCTGTGGTGAGTGTTATTTGGCAAAATCGCTCTGCAAACATTTGCTAGCCCTTCTCCTTGCTTGCACCCCTCCCTTTCCCTGCCCCTTGCCTTCTGCTGTGGAGACAGGGTGAGAGCCTGGAAGGGAGGACTGAGCCGTGAGCAAGGCAGGGAAGAGCAGCGAGATCTCTGTGAGGATGCTGTGGCTGGATCCCACAAGAAAGTGTTGTCGAGGTGCCTTGTGCAGGCAAACTGCAGGCAGATTTTCTCCACCCTTTTTGCAGTTGAAACGGATGTCTGTGGATCCAGCTATGTCCTCCTTCCAAATCCTGTGCTTGTCTGCAGAGAAATGTGCTGGGTTTGGGGTGGTTTGGTTTTTTTTTCTCTGATACTCACTTTGTGGGCTGGATTTGCAGTCCAAAATCTTGAAGGAAGAGCTAAGGGCACATGATGTCTTTAAGCCACGGGAAAAGAGAGCAACAAGCTGAGTCAGCCTCCTTCAGCCCACCAGTGTCACCTCTGTCCTCCTGGGCTGGGTGAATGGAAGGAGTGAGAAGGCATATGAGGAAATAGATTTTGGAATAATTACTGGGTGGTTTAAAGGTGCTCACAGCTTGGAAATGCTACGTGTCTTATAAGCGGTGCTGAGCAAAATGCAAATGGCAAAATTGGTGAACTGACTTTCAAGTCTCCCTATGCAGCTCTTTTGCCACTTTATTTTACCAACGTGCTTTGCTGGTAGATAGAGCATGGGCACTCACACGGTCAGGGCTAACAGCAGACATCAGCCGCTTGCTTTGGTACCCTCCCTGCAAAACACGCTGCTCTGAGTGAGCTGCTCAGGTACAAAACACAAGCCCCTCCACCCCTGTGCCTTGCTGCAGAGTGCACCTGCGGTCCCGTCGACCTCCTCTTCGTATTGGACAGCTCAGAAAGCATTGGTCTGCAGAACTTCCAGATTGCCAAGGACTTCATCATCAAAGTCATCGACCGCCTGAGCAAGGACGAGCGTGTGAAGGTGAGATTTCCGAGTGCTGGGACATGCTTGTGTGCACTCATTTGTTTTTCACTGCAAGTGGAAAAACTAGGAGATGCCTCCACATCAAAGAGCCTCCCGGAGGCTTAGCTTCAAGGGTGCAAGTGCGTTTAGTCTTGATTCCTCCTGGCTTCATAAAGTGGCAGAGAAGACACAGCAGTTTGGGCAAAGGGACTCTGCTGTAGCTGTGAACTTCTTTTGTGTTCCAGAGCAGATGTCTCATAAAGCATTCATCTGATTAGTCCATCTCTCAGTCTTTTCTATGTCCTGATGAGCATTTCAGGTGACTGGAGTAGATAAGACATGAGGTGTGTTGCAACTTCCTTGAGCTCCCTGCTAGTCAGGGCACTTCCCAGGCACTGTTGTCTGCCCCCAAGCTTGAGTTCAGTTCACTATTTAAGCACACTACTAGAAAGGATCTTTGCAGCCCAAAACTGCAATATTGTCCCAGTAGTGAATCTTCCAGTCCGAAGAGGAACACAAATGCTTGCTCTTCTAACTCTTCCCTGGTAACCCACTGTGCGTGGGAAATTTCATTTGTCTCGGTAATTTTGGAAGGGATGTTTGAGATCCAGTCTTTCCTTAAGGTACTCCAGACACATCTGTAGCACACGGGCTGTAAAGTCACAACAACTTGCCGTTGGACACATGTGGGCATTCACGGGTCTCTTTGTCTAGAAAAGAGCTTGTGACAAGCAGAAAGGTTAGAGCTGGGCAGCAAAACCACTGAGTTGGAAGAAGAACACAAGTTTTGAAAAAAGATCTATTCCTAGCCACCCACTGTGGCCAACGTGCCACTGAGCCAGGAAACCTGGTTTTGGGTTTTGTTTCACAGACTGGCACTGACACTCCTGTTGGGGCTCCTTCTGCCTGGAATAGGGCAGAGGAGAGGCAGCAGAGCCTGCCGTGAAGGTATTCAGTAGAAACCAGCAGGATTTCTGAGCTCTCCCCAGAGGTATCCGACCCTAACTGGCTTCTGTTTCTTCCAACAGTTTGAAGCTGGGGAGTCCCGTGTGGGCGTTGTGCAGTACAGCCATGGCAACACGCAGGAGCTGGTGGCCATGGGGGATGCCAACATAGACAACATCGGGGCACTCAAACAGTGAGTCTGGGGGGGTCTCGTGTCATCCTGCAGAGACCTGACCCAGGGATACCTCCTCCCACCCTCCATCTCCAGGCCAGCAGCACCAGCAACTGCGAGAGGGCTAAATGTTCTTTAATGGAAAGTAGCAGTTGGTGGTGTTGTAGGTGGTGCTGAGGCCAAGGAGTTTGCCAGTTTTCCACTCAAAGCCCCTTGGAGGGATGTTTCCCTGCCTTGTGTCAGAGATACGTGTTCCCAGGGGCCCCTTCAGCATCCATGGGGCAGAGCTTCCTGGCTCACTGGTGCCTGTTCTTGCAGGGCAGTCAAGAACCTGAAATGGATAGCTGGGGGCACCTTCACTGGAGAAGCCCTGCAGTTCACCAGGGAAAATCTGCTGCAGAGATTCACCTCTGACAAGCGCGTCGCCATCGTCATCACTGATGGGCGTTCCGACACGCTACGGGACCCCACGCCACTCAACTCTCTGTGCGATGTCACCCCGGTAAGGGCACAGGGGAAGAAGTGCCATGCTGCAGGCAACTGCCATGCAGGAGCTGTGCAGCAGAGTAGTGTCAGTTCTCATGTGTTTGCTACCCAAGGATAGGTCGGGGGGGACACATGTCACTAGAAACACTCACAGAGTGACAAGCATTCAAGTTTATGAATGCATTAGATGATGAATGCATCTGATGACAGACTTTAACTTCCCTGCAGGTGGTTTCCCTTGGGATAGGTGACATTTTCCGGAACCCTCCAAATCCAGATCACCTGAATGACATTGCTTGTTTAAGCAGACCAACCAGGCCAGGACTATCTATTCAAAGGGACAACTATGCTGAGCTCCTGGATGACACCTTCTTGCAGAACATCACCTCATACGTCTGCCAAGGTGGGTGAATGGTTGGGGCTGGAGCCAGTAAGGAAGGTAGTGAGGATTGCTTCAGTCAAAGGGGGAGTGGATGCAGACTGTTCTCCCTTGCCTTCCCCCAGTTATACTCCTAAGGTGTTGAGGGATGATAACAGCGTTCAAGGTTTAGTTAAATAAGGGACAAGGACATCTCATGTCTCAGAACAGTTTGCAGCAGGGTCCAAGTCATAAGATCAAAGAATCGTAGAATCATTTGAGTTGGAAAAGACCTTTAAGATCATCGAGTCCAACCATTAAGTCCTCTCCTGCTGCAGGACATAATTTTTCAAGCATACGCGTCTGTAGCACCTTGCACAATGCGGCTGTGGCTGCAATGAGCGTTTGTCCCCTCTGCGGCTCTGTGGCAAACTATAGGAGGAGTGGTTTTCCTGAGTGAGCTGGTGACCTTATTTTTCCTAATTTTCTTAACAGAGAAGAAATGTCCGGACTACACCTGCCCAAGTGAGTATTGGCTCCTTGTGCCACATAAACGGGTTGTGGGTGCTGTGGTAGGAGAAGAGGGAGTTCATGTTTGTGGGCATGCATAGCTTGGAGACCTCTTGCAACATGGAGGCTCCTGGACTGGAGAAGCGAACAAGCCCTGTCAGACACTCGCAGGGCTTCTCACACACATGCCAGCCCAGAGCACCTGGAGTGAAAGCGTAGACAGTTGCTTTTCTGGCACCTCAAACCTTGAGAAGAGGCTGTGCCAGTTTTTAGCCCTCACAAGCTTTAGCTGAGACGGGTAATGAGACCAATTGCTGTACAATGGTGGGAGCATGAGGAAAAATCAGCACTGTGGCAGGAATGTTTGAGAATGGTGCTTGAAAAGTGAGTACAGGGAGGAGTTTTGTGGGGTACACCTCCAAGTCAGAGGTGTATACAACCCTCAGACTCATCATAGAAAGAAGCTAGCCTCGGCAGATGCAGTGGTTCCCTAGACATACAAGGAAGCGCTGTATGTAAGGACCAAAAGTCACTAAATTGTCTAAACTAGGTAAGCACCTGGTAAGCATGTCTTAAACCAAACAAAAGAAGGAATTAAAGCATAAAAGGACAAGTTCTGGGGTAGGGCTAACCAAGCTAGCAAATACCGAGGGAGTGAGGATTTCCTAAGTGTAACAAGGCAGGAAGCCTTCAAGAGGGCGGCTTTCTGTGGAAGTGGAAGAGGCAGGAGGAGAAACAGAGCGTAACAAGCCCTGGGCCTTTCCCCTTGCAGTCACCTTCGACAGGCTGGCAGACATCACGCTGCTGGTGGACAGCTCCACCAGCGTGGGGAGCAAGAACTTCGAAACCACCAAGAAGTTTGTGAAGCGGCTGGCGGAGCGGTTCCTGGAAGCCGGCAAGCTTGCCGAAGACTCCGTGCGTGTCTCAGTGGTCCAGTACAGTGGCAGGAACCAGCAGAAAGTGGAAGCGCAGTTCCAGCACAACTACACAGTCATCGCCAAAGCCATTGACAACATGGAATTCATTAACGACGCCACGGACGTCAACGCTGCTCTGCAGTTCGTCACGACGCTGTACCAGCGGTCTTCCCGTGCCGGGGCGATGAAGAGGGTGCTGGTGTTTTCTGATGGAAACTCCCAAGGGATCACCCCAAGGGCCATCGAGAGGGCTGTGCAGGAAGCTCAGCAGGCTGACATTGAGATCTATGTGCTGGCAGTGGGCAGCCAGGCCAATGAGCCTAACATCCGTGTCCTGGTCACAGGGAAGAGCGCAGATTACGACGTGGTCTATGGGGAACGCCACCTCTTCCGTGTGCCCGACTATACTTCTCTGCTGCGTGGCGTCTTCTACCAAACTGTCTCCAGGAAGATCGCTGTTGACTGAGTGTCTGGGTGGGTTTCTGCAAAGGCCCTTCCTGCTTCTGTCTCACCTAAAAAGGAAAACCAACAAAACAAAATTAATAGTATTCTTGACCAACCTGAGGAATTTGTGTCTATGCAGATAGCCATATCACCACAGCCCGGCTGTGCACAGTCCCTTTCCTTGTCCACCTGCTTCGTCATCTGCCTCTCTACTCTGCTAGCCTGGAACTTCCCTTCCTGCCCATGACTGCTTCTCCCTCCCCACAGCAGACATACACACCTAGCAATAAGCTGCCAGAACACCAATAGCAACCTCATCCCACTGTTTTTTGCCAAGAAAGAATCCGGATGAGGAATTTTGTACCACTAAGGACTAGCCTGGTCTCATAAGGCTGATTATGCTCCTTTCAGACACAGGGTTTTTTGTTCATTTGTTTCTTTCTTTCACACATCATCTGAGCACTTGTCCAGCTCACAATGGTTCTAACCCAATGCTGTGCTTCAAGTGAAACGTTCAGTGCTTCAGCAAGCTTTGAGACAGGATTGTTGTCATGACTGGCAAGTTTGGTTTGTATGTCCCATGCTTGTGGCAGGAGGGCTGGACTGCATTATCCAAGCCAGGTGGAAGCATCGCTGGCCTGGAGCCCGTGGGATGAGGCACTGATTTCCCAGGGTCTGGGTGGCGATGGGTGGTGGGCACTCAGTGCTGACGCTCCCATTCAGGGCAGGGAAGCTGGGCACCGAGCAAACCAAAGATGGAGAGCAGCCATTGGGGAGGGGGGAAGCCCTAGAAGAAGCTACATAACTGCACTTCTTCACTAACTGATCTCATGGTCCTACAGTGAAACCAGGAACCTCATGAATAACCTGATGACTTGTGTTACAGTCCACGCTCCTTTCTGGAAAATCTCTCTGAGCCTGGTTAGTGGGATTTTTTAATATTTTTTTTTCCCAGAAGTGTCAAGCTGTCTAATTCCCAGTGAGCTCTCTGGCAGTACTGTTTCTATAGGGCCATCTAGGAATTAGGAACCTGGACCATATGGAAACCCACTAACTGTACTATATATTGAATTAGGGCGTCATCCACAGCCCAGAAAAGTTAAGGGAAAGGCCGCCATTATCTGCCAGGGTCTTTGACTCACGCCCTACAGATATACTGACAAAGGTGCTATCGCTACATGGGTGATGCGGCCCTTGGTGTTTACACAGTTGTTTCCAGGACCACTCTGAAGATGTGGTTTGGCTGGGCGAGATTTTGTTTCAGCGCTTCCATTGGTGCTTTTGCTATGAATTCATGCGCTTCTGAGAAAGCAACAGTGATTGCCAGGTATTGGCATCCCAAACTCTTTACTTTGTATCCAAAAAAATCCATTTTATGTGTTAGTTTTATTTTATGCCTGTGTTTTACTAAAATTGTCAACTTTGGAAATTTGCCAAATAAATTGTTTTCGACAGTCTCGCTGGAAGTTTGTCTGACTTGAACTTCAAGGGCTCTGTTCAGAAAGTCACTTGGTAAAATTGAGGTTGCTGGGACCCGGGAGGACTCCAGCAGAACTTCTCACAAAAAATCTCTAAGGAATAGAGAAGAGATCTATTGCTTTTGTATCACAAATCTGACTATTATTGAATACCTTGGATTTGAGAAATACTATAAATCCTCTTAATCTATTAAATAGTGCATAAAAATGTCTTGAGGAGAGCGCGGAGCCCTCAAAGGATGGGAAGTGCTTATGCAACTTCAGTTTCTCTTCTGATCACAAAAAAACCCCCGAGATCCTGCACAGGTAGGTACTGCTGTTTCCAGAAGACCTGGTGTAGAGTTATGGTGGTCATCAGGTGAAGAGATAAGCTGCGCTTGCTTTCTGCTTACGTTCATCATCTCTCCATAGTGCCTCGTTCCCTGGGTAGGTGGGGGTTTTGTTCTGCAGACAGGGAGACCGGTGGAGGTATCAAACATCTCATCCAGCTTTGCCAGGCTCATTTCTCCCCAAATGTTTGGTTTACTTCCTAAAACAGCTCTAAGAGTGCGTGTCTTTGGGGAAACTCCCAGGCTATACCTGTACATCCCAGTACCTTTCCCAGTGGATGCCTGCACAGTCACTTGTTCTGTCTACTTGTGGACAGTGGGTCACATTCATGTCCTCTTTCTGTGACAGAGAGGCACTGCCTTGCTTCCCCCTTGTCTCAGGTCCTCTTAGTCATGCTCTCTCCTGGCCAAAGGTCTTGGCTGAGATGCTTGTTGGGCTTTCTGGCTGCCCCGCAGTGCCGGGGACACGTCACTCACAGCTGGAAGGTCTGAGGAGCACCTCTGGGAAGGCTCTGCTGGTGACGGCAGTTTGTGTCAGATGTCCCACTCTTCACCTCCACAGAAAGTTGGGAAAAAAATGCCTCTGCGTCTGCCCTAATAAAGGCAGTTATTGTTACGGCTAAAGAATTATTTCTCGAAGACTCACTGCAGTCTTTGGCATGAATCATCCACGAAGGAAAGGGGAAATCTGGAGAGCTCAGGGATGGAGAAATCTCTCTCTGACTTTGGTCTGGTTTGCAGCTTCTTTGCTAAAAAAGCAGGTGGCAGGAGGGATTTTTCCTGCTTCTGCGCATTTTCCCTTCCTCTGCCACAACCATGCGCTTGTTTTTGCTTTTGACTGAAAGAAGAAAACAATTCCAATCCAGCAAAAATTGTCACTTCACAAGGCTCAGTTCTGGAGTGTTTGTCAGTTTTACCCAGGAGAAAAAACTAAACATTTCCATTAAAGTCCAGTTTGTCCAGAAGAAACACAGTTTTAAATGGGGCCTGGCGAAGAGATGTCTTTCCCAAAAGAAAGGCACCAGCAGGGATTTTTCAGCAGTGCTCAATATCATGTGTTTGGGCCTGTTGCCTTGTCTGTCCTCACTCTTGTGCACTGTCCAGGTAGAATCATGGGAGCCCCTGTTAGGTATTTGGACCAGAGTAGGTCGTGATATGCTGAACTCATTTTGTCTTCCATTTCTGGTTATATTTACTTCCCTTTTTTTTTCTGTCTCAATTTTTATGCTTTCATTACAGGGAAGGTCAAAAATGCCTCTGCCTGCGGGGCTGCTTTGTTAAACTTCAGATGTTCTCCAGATGTTTAGCAAGTGGGTTTATGTAACAACGACAGAATTTGGGCCACATTTCTCTGTTTTCCTCTAAATTCTCTTCATTTGAGGCAATGCTGATTCACAGCCCTTCATGGGAAGGTGATGGCTGGGGATGGAGGGGGTTGCTGAGACTGCCTGATCAGTGTGGTAGGACTCCTAGAACACGTACTCTAGAAGAAATGCAAAAAACCAACAATGTGACAGGCTGGAACAGCACTGTGGGACTGCAATCCCAAAGGATAGAGCAAAAAGGGAGGTAAACTGGCAAGTGAGAGATGAATATCCTACCTCAAGCTGTATAACTGCAAATAGCTGCCCTGGGATGATTTTGAATTACTTTTTTGAAATTATTTAAGATTTTTTCAAGTGCCTACGATTTTTCCAAGGAGCAGAGGTCCATTGCCTAACCTCTGCTAGCTGTAGCAGCAGAATAACTGAATGTTCAAATGTCTCTCACTACTCTGGAATTTGGGACTTGTTTTAGCTCTATTATTCCCAAATGTGTTTTAGTTTAAGCTTTGCATTGTTTTGTCCAATTGGATGGATCTCCCTTGTATAAGGACAAAGAATCATGATGTACGTAAGCTTGTGGGCAGAGGAGAGACTGTGATCCATTAAGAAATACAAGGTTAGCACACAGAAGTAATTCTGAGCAAACTCAAGACCATAGAAGAAGCCTACTCTCTCCCCAACACGTGGCGTCATCATCATACTTCTCCAGGTAAAGGATCTGGGAAGCTGATGGCCTTCCGTAATGTTGCATATGGTGGGGGAGCATGGTGAAAGCATGGTGCAGCTCTGGGAGATGTGTATAACAGGTTTAGGTTTTGCTAGTTCCAATGAATAATTAAGTAATTTAGATTATAGATACCTAAATAATACATGGACTAAATAAGTTGTGTTGGGGCTAGGCTAAGATGAATTTTTAGACCTGCACTTGGCAGTCTCTTCTTCGGTTGCCTGTAGCAGGAGAGGCGCTGCAGTCAAGTAGCCCAGCAGTGGCCTCGCCAAGAAGCTGAGAGGACTATTGATATATTCTGAATTGAGCAACCCATGCCATTTAATGTCTTTTTCTTTGTTTTTCTTGTTTCTTTTAAATAATTTCTTACAGAAGTGGTCAGCCCTGTCAGACATGGAAACTACAGATGTGCTAACAGGAGCACCCTGAGACACTGACACGATCTTCCCAGTGAAAACTGGGAACTTGTGGAGTCAATTGCCCTCCTGAAATATCGCTGCAGCCTTTCCACCTGCGCTTAGTCTCAGCAGAGCAGGGCTCTTGGTCCCATCCATTGCTGCAGACACCTGCAGGAAACACTTCTCAGCTTTGTCATCCTTATGAAAATGTTAGAGTTTAATGTCCAAGCCACTGAACCAAACAAAAATGCATCTGGGGTAATATATTTTCTTGATGATAAAATATTAAAAAGAAAAATGGAATGAAAAAGCAGAAGCTGGAGGCAATGCAGATGCATCCTACCCCTTACATCATGCTTCTGGAGAAATATTTTTGTTCTTTTTTTCTTCACTTTTGGTTCTGTCACCTTGTTCTGGGTGACTCCAAAGGTCTTGGGAGACAAACTGTTTCTTGAAATGAGTTTTCTAGTAGTGAAAAATCATGGAAGAAACTTTGGGGGCCATCTATTTTTGCAACATTATCTGATTTGACTGCACAAAGCATACACTGTAGCAGTCCTGGTATAGCCACGGACTTAAGCCTCTGTCCAAAACCAATCTGTTGGCCAAATAAAAGATGCTGTCTCATCAGACTTAGGTTTATTTAGTCATTGAAACACCAAGAAACAAGGCATGAAGAGGTTGTTAAGCTCATTTTCCGCCTTAAAGATATGTTTAACCCCACAGTTTGTGTATCTGTTATCTGATCAGTTGGATATTTGCCTG